TATATATATATATATTCACTCCAGCTGCAATGATTCGGACAAGTAGCTAATTGCAGAGTTTGCAGTCAGTCACGTGACCTGATTATGTGATAACCTGCATTGATCACCTCTGACATGCGTCCGTTCCAATCACAAGGATGGTGGCGCATACGTGCAGGTTTACCATGCGTCTCCATCAAAATAAACCCTCACCACAAACTTGACTGAAACGTATTTATACTCATCAAAATTTCAATTTGAAAACACTTGACATGCTGCATAGGACTAGTCTTAGCCTCAGGATCCAGAGGAATAGAATACAGTGCGTAATAACGCGCATTAGGATGGTATGTAGTAATAATAATAATAAAAAAAAACATGGCATACCTTTGAGAGGAATAAAACGCGGATCACCACGTAGCAGAGAAAAAAAYGTCGCACCTCCTCACAGTCCTGGTGAAGGAACCAATTTCTAAAACCTTCTTCGCATTCCTTCCCCAAGCAAATTTCCTCCGTTCTCCAGGCCTTGGCAAGTCCTGCAGAGACGCAATGTTTTGTTTTGACTGGCAGCGGAGTTTACAGAGGSAGACAGAGAGTAATGAAGCAACCAGCCGGAGCAAGAGGATTCACCCCCCGGACACTCTCCTGTGCGCAGAAAGAAACCGCTATTTCCGAAAACAGGCTGATTTAGCTGCTTTGCAGTGTTTAAGGAAGAGGATTTCTCGAGCTTCAAGTTTTGAATTAATGTAACGCATTTTTTATGTTGAGCATAGCTTTGTTCTCGATGAATACATAAAGAAGCATGTTTTGTAATGTTTTTGTGGCGTTTTAGAGGCAAACACGTTTTAACGAAACAAATAGAAAACATTCCCGCTCAGAAAGGTTTTCATAAAAGCTGTCTCTTCCWCATTTTATACTAAACTCAAAGGTTTGCTTTACATAACACCGGATAAACGCAACTAAAGCGCCGAACGTGACATTAACTATCTTGACTTGACACTCTTCGTCAAGAAGCAACTTTTTTTTTAATAAGTTAATGGACAAGCGTTTCAACCAATCAGATAACCAACAGGGCATGGCAACATCCTGCCTATTGGTGGAGAGCAAAGAGGAGTAACCAATGAGGAGTAAGCTCCTTAATCACTGAATATTTTATTTTACAGAGCTCTCCAGACAGTCAGGTTCTATAAACAAAGTTAGATAAGAAAGCTAAATATTTTAATGATTGTCAAAATAAAAAAAATAATAAAAACGTTTCATTGGAAGAAGTTGATTTTTAAATCTGTATAACCTGGTTAACTTTTCTGCTTCAGGTAAAAACTTTCTTAATCCAGTCTAAAGCGCCATCTTGTGTCACTTTATCAGAGACCTGTCGATATAATTCATTTATAACTGGTAACAAATTAATTTATAACTGGTAACCAAAGGAGAAAAACAGTCTAACTTGTTCATAAATATAACATGTGCACATCTGTAGAAATAAATTTACATCTTGTCAATATGAAGACAGTTTGCTTTATTAATGCAATCAAATGGATGATTGTAGGTGGGATAAAGTGAATGTCAGTAAAACACAAACATCATCATGAACAAACAAAAAACACTCATTGCAACACAATATTATAAAAATATAATTCCCCCCCGATATGATTTAGAAATCAAGTCTTTCACATTATTCCTATATGAACCAAACAAAAAACAAGACAGTAGGAACTCAAAAGACCATAAAAGAAAAATAAAGAACAGGAAACAAAACACTTAAATTGAGTACAAAATACAGTACATTCAAACAATACTACATTCAGTACAGACCCCGAACACATGATCACAAGTTGGGATTGAAACTTTTACATCTGTCTGCAGCAGAGATGCAGGAATCTTGTCTTAAAGTTTGTTTTTTTAATTTAATGAACATCAAAATCAAATGCCAGCAATAAAACAAACAACAAACCTTGTTGATGAAATGCCAGATGATTTAAATATTGTTAATATTGAATATCTTAAATATGTTTACTGTCACACTGACGTAAAGATATATAGAAAAATTCATAATTTGTGCAAAATGTCCCCTTTTAATCACTGTCCAGGACTTTGATTCTGAGAAACAACTTCTGATCACTTGCATGTAAAAATAAAAAAAGACACAAAGCAGTGGTTACGACAGTAAWTAGTGTTTTCAGAAACGTTCTGCAGATATGAGAAACTCTTCACCTCCACTGTCAAACTGCTCATTTTAGGGTTAAACTTAGAGAAACTAAGTTCACTTTGGCAGCGTCCAGCACATAAAAACTCACATTTATCTGACTAGTTTCTTACAGCTGCAGCCGTCTGATCATAAAAAATAAAAATAAAAACAGAAACTGGGAAGTTAACACTGAAGCTACATCTGCTGGTGGTTCTATTGTTTTCTTGAACGCGACAAAGAAAAATCAGCCATAAACAATAAAACAGCTTCACTTCTGTAAACCTTTATGAAAGAAGTTGTGTGTAATACAATAACCAAGACTCACAAACATGACTTAGGTGGTTTTGTTGCTTTTTTCTAGACCAGCCTATTGAGACGATGTGGATTTAAATACCACAGACTTCTAACACTGTTTTGTGTGAAAATGTACAGTTGGGAAACAAAAAGTGCAATTTAAAAGGGCTGATTACCTAAAGGGGAGCGTAGTAAAAACACTCTGGATGTTCTGTCAAGTTCACCAGATTTGTCCACCTTAAATATTATCTTTGGATGATTTTCTTCTTGATTGTATTTGCAATAGATGTCCAATTATATAAATTTTAGATGAACTTTCAATTTCACCTAAAGAACAAGTTTATGGGTTTTATGGTAAAAGTCAGGTGATCAGAACGTCATTAGTTCATCTGTCAGAATCGACTGACAGGAACAACATCATACACTGTATTTTACATTAAATCACAAATAAATTAATTCATTTTCTTATTTACAAACAACTTTCAGGAAAGATAAGAGCAGCTGTTTGTGCGAGTTCTTGTAGCAGCAGCTAGATAAATATTTCTCTCTTTTAATGTTTATATTAAAATAAATCTATTTTAAATAGGTAGCAGTGGGGGGTGCATTTAATAAAAATGTCTATTAAGTTTTGCCAGACTAACAAGCGTGGCAGATCAAGTGTTTATCATTCTTCATAAACAGAATTAATGGTTTGATGTTTTTGTTTACACACTTTTGGTTGTGTGTATTTATGCTTCGGCTGGTGTTTCACTGACTAATAGTCCAAAAATGTCATGAAGAAGTCGTTGTGTTTTAATTGAACTTTTAAAAAAACAAATCATTGGATGAACGTCTACTTTAATTTTAGAGACAACCTGATTCAAGATGGCCGCCACAGCTTTATCAACCCCGCCTCTAACTTAGTCAGTTGGGGAGAAATAGAGATTAAGTTTAAATCATAATTAGAGCAGTATTTAGTTGTGCAAGATTTGTATTTTAAACTTTATCATTAACTATTGTAATAAAATGTCTGTTAGCAAAATATCTCATAAACCATTGGACAAATTAGAGTGATTTTCTCACCAGATTTGCATCTACAACAGATTTATTAAGCTAGTCAACATGAGCTAAGACAATAATGGATATAACTCATTCTATGGTTACTGAAATAAAATTTGGTGTGGTAGATTCACGTCCAACACATACTCAGACACAGTATTGAGAGAGATTCAATCAAAAACAGCTCTCACTCTATTATTTCTCACCATCAGATGATGGTAGTTTAAAACTCTGGCATTTCTTTATATATATATTTATTATATTATTCCTTTATATATATTAAAGAACTCTAGGTTCTTATTTAAAATAGCTCGTATGAACCCACAAACTGGCTCACCGGTGCAGGCTTGAAAGCGAAAATATTTGCAACGAGTTTGAGGTGGTTCCAACAGCTGGCTCACTCGACACAGAAATACCCCCTTTAGGGATTTTTACACAACTAGAAAAGTTATTTTAAATCACCGGGACAGGAGCATCAGAGTGATTCTTCTGTGGCGCCCTGCAGGAATGCACGCAGTGAGAGAGAGAGGGGGGCGGGGTTGAAGGTGGAGCGGCGGTTTGGCAGGTCAGCGAGCTCGAAGGTGAGGTGAGCTCCGACGGGTCACTGGGGTTTAGAAATGCCATTCCTATCCATAAACTCTTTAAGCCTGGTGGGAAAATCTGTCATGACTCCTGTGGCCCCCAGATCGAACGCCCTTCTGTAGTCCTCCTCATCATTCAGCACCCAGATGTACACCTGAAACCAGACGCAGGACAGTTCACACACAAACAGATCTAACAGCCTTTCTAGTCTATATTTAAAYTTGTAGGAAAGCTGAACATTTCCTGGTAGCTGCTTCAGAATAGAGCACAACACTTCAAGGACAGTTAACAGCTGTCAGCTTACAGGTGGACACAGTATGTTTTTTAATGTGTGGAAAGGTTTTATTTGTGACTTCTGGGACTCAAGAAATGAAATGAATTTGTATATACAACTCAAAAGATGATAAATATTGTTAAAAATCTTTATGGATGTGCAAAACCTACTAAAACCCCCAAAACAAAGTGACTTAACACAGATTAATATTAAATATCTTTCCTTATTTATCACCTACTACACTTCCAGTCATATATTTATGTTATTTTGTTTTTGTTTTATTTCTCTACAGGAGTATTATAGAGCAGCAGCAGACTTACCTGGATTCCCCTCGCAGTTAAATGCTGGAAAAGAGCTTTCCTCATCAGCAAACTGCAAGACAAAAATATTTGAATAAAAAACATCAGCAGAAAAGTAGAAATTAACATCAATTATTAGCTCAGTTTGTTTGTTTCGTCTGTTAGCAAAATATCTCCTGACTAGGGTTGGGCATAATCGTATCGTGTGCAATTAATAGTCAGAAAAACATTAATCGATTAAGTTAC